CCCCTCCCCTTTGACTTCCCAGCAGGAGCCAAATGGGATGGAGGGCAGGGCGTGCCGTTTATTAAGTAGTTATGTGCGAGGACGGACTTGAAAGGGATGCCTCTAACTTGAGGGCATATTCCTGTTGGTTGAGAAAAGAGGAAGAATAATTTATGTGAGGGCTGCAGCGATCTGTTCTCAGTATTCTTCCCTCACATCCTGTGGGAATGCCCTTAAATACACATCTTTCCTCCGGATTTCCTATTACGTTTTCTAATTCCAGTTAATCCAGAAGGGATGCTTTATTAGGGAACGGCTCGGAGTTCAAAGTTCTGCCTCTTTCCTTCCCCGGTTTCTGTTTCCCCTCCTGCCACCCCACATCCTCTGCAGCTGAGGCTGCCAGCCCTTTGCACCTCCCTTGGGGTTCCCAGGCATGGCTGTCAGGCTCTCTGCAGGGTGTCAGTGGACGGTGACTGGTGACATCCATAAATCACACCTAAACTGTTGGCCTCCTCCAAACGCTGTCATTGCTCTCCAATGAGAGGGGAGAGGACGTTTATGAGCTGTAATGATGGGCTGCTTGGACAGGGCAGATGGGGCCAGGGAGAAGATGAGGAAGGGGAGCCTACTGCTGCGAGCCGTCGAAGCATGACGTGGTCGTCGGCCCTGGAGCTTGTTGTGTTCCTGCCCTGCCCTGAGCAGCGACTCAGCTCTGCCCGTGGGACCCTGGGATAACTGAAGTGGGTCAGGCCCTGACTATATTTATTATATAGAGCAAAGGAAACGTGTGAACTATGGGACTTGTTCAGGGCTTGGGCTTTTCAAGTGGGGAGAGTAGGGTCTAGACTTTGGAGGAATGTCAGTCTGCTGCTTTGGGGGCCCTGCGTTCTCCAGCCTGCTCGTCCCTCACTTACTACAAGGGGGTTCCACGAATGTTGTGTTGCCTTTGGTTTTTCTACTTTTACGTGAACATGCCTTTTGCAAAGTGTAATTGGGGGATCCTGCCACTGCACCCTCAGCCTATGTTCCTAATGCAATGGGCTTAGGGGACAGGGTTCTGGTGGCTCAGTACAGTGTGACCCCTCACAAGGTGTATACCCCTTCTCATGACTTTGGCTCTAGTTCACTTTGCCTGTGTAGACACGGCCCAAGAGAGTCGAAGGATTTAGTCTAGGACAGTTGCAGAGAGCAGAACACGAGTGCGCAGGGGACACACGGGCCTCTTTTTCTGCACCTAGGATGTCTCTTGCACGCACAAAGCCACGCCGCACAGAACAGCTCGGGAAGTCTGTGAATCTGTCTCTCCGAGGAACATGTCAGTCATGCCATGCTAACCCCAGACGTCCTTCATATGCGATGTGGTTTTTACCTGGGCATCAAATTTTCCAGCGTTGTGTAGAAAAGTCATGCAAATCCCATGCAAGCCCCGAATCTCACAAGAGTTGTTCTCGAAACATTCGAACACGCCACACCCTACGTCGCCGGCGTTGACTAAACAGTGCTGGATCTCGGCTGAAATGAAAATCACATAGAGATATATGCAAACTCTCAGACATGCCGGGGAATGCAGAGAGGTCAGCTGAAATAAAAGTTGGTAAGGACTCCAGGAGAACGTAAGGCAGAAAAGTGAACAATGACTAATTGGGCAACGACACCGCAGAGGAAACAGAACTTCATCGTTTGACCTACTCATGAAAAAAATCGATACTTGGAAATATTTGCAAAAGTTAGTCCCCAAATTGCAAAAAACACACGAGAAGTAAGTTCTGCACATCCCTTCCCCCAATCCTTTCCATTTTAATGTGGTGGGAATGCTAAGCTGGAGAGCAGAGAATAGTTCATCTTTGTAAACGCACGGACACAAAATAAGATTTGAAGATGAATTCATCAGTGTAAGGCTGTGTCCTCTAATTGGCTCTGTACACGCTGGGGCTATTAAATCACAGCTATTTCCTTCCTGGCCCCCAAATGAGAACATCCAAAAAGCAATTGCAATTCAGCTTTATGATTCAACACCGAAAAATCAAAACAAAATTCCTCAGAAAGCAGCGCCTCCAAACCACTCACATTAATACCAGTGTAGAGAAGCGTGGTTTGAGAGCAGGCTGGGCCATCGAGTCAGGTGGGGGCTGGCCTTCAGCAAGCAGGCACCGGCAACCCGCAGTTAAAGATCCTTTAGTGAGGGATCTGCTTCGAGATACCACTTAATCCCCTCGAATTCCCGGGGCTGGGAGTTTGCTGCCGGCCTTTGCAGAATGCGGCCCTAATTCATCTCTTTGAAAGGACACAGAGAGTTAACTGTCAGGCAGCCTTGTGCAAAGCTTCTTTTGCTTCTTTCCCTCTACCCAATTCTCTGATTTAAACCAACCACAAAATTACATCAGAAAAGTATATTTTGGAAGCAGGGCGGGGTTGGGGTAGATAATCTGCATTCAGATTAAATCTTGCAAGAGAATGAGGGGCGTGTGTTTGTTGAGGGTCACCAACTACCGAGAATCACCTTCAGTTCTCTGAGAGGGGGAAGGGTGGGCGGCGGTCCTAGGGTGTGTGGGGCGCGGGCCCTATCACGTGGAGGTGAGAGGTTCCGGATGACCCACTCGCCGCCCTGGCGCACATGCGGGACCGCACAGGGCCGCGATGCAATCACTTGGGGCGTCCCTAATGGGCACTCGTGCCTTCC